CCTCTATACATCACATCCCATTACCCAACTTTATTACCATTTTAATATTCACCTGTATAAATAATTTAAGAATCCCATTTAAACTCTTCAAATAACTCAATCCAACGGCCCAATTTAATCTCGGACCCATCCTCATCATATAATCCTCCACCACTAAATAAATTTCTATATTATATTTGTACATCTATTTAAATTCATTTTCATATTATTTTCTATACAACACTTCCCATTTGCCTACTTTTTTACCATTTTTATATTATCCATTATAAATAACTTAAGAATCTAACTTAAAACCTTCACTTTACTCAATCCAGTTACCAAACTTAATCTCGTCTCCACTTTCATTATATTATCCTCCACCACTAAAGTAAATTTTATTAAAAATATTGCTTACATTTTTTCAAATTGATTACTTCGTCTAAACATAATATCCCATATTCCTATTTTTTTACCATTTAAATATTTTCCACTATAAATTACTTAGGAATCAAAAGAAAATTGATTAGATACTTCAACCCAATCCCCCAACTTATTTCCATCTTTATTATTATATTATCCTCCACCACTTAAAATATTTCATGTTACTTACATTTGTTTAAATTAATTTTCATATTATTTTCGATACAAAATATCCCATCGACCAATTTTTGTACCGTTCAAATAATCTCCATTATAGGTAATTTAAGAATAATAATTAAATTCAGAAGACACTTCGATCCAACTACCAAACTGAACCTAATCTGCTTCATTATATGATCCCCCTCCACTATTGAATATTTTATGTGCTTTAAATAAAATATTAATACATCCACTCGCTCTTATCGGCAGAATGCGGCTTTTTATACCAAATATCCCATCGACCAACTTTTTTCCCTTTTTGATACTCTCCTTAATACGTAAATTCAGAATATTTGCCAAATCCATCGGCCACTTCTATCCAAAAGCCTAATTTAATCTCTGACCCTTCCTCATCATACAATCCTCCACCACTAAAAATTTTTTAGATTATATTTTGTACATCTATTTAAATTCATTTTCATATTATTTTCTATACAACACCTCCCACCTGCCTACTTTTTTACCATTTTTATATTATCCATTATAAATAACTTAAGAATCTAATCTAAACACTTCACTTTACTCAATCCATTTACCAAACTTAATCTCTTCTCCACTTTCATTATATGATCCTCCACCACTAAAGTAAATTGTATTACAAATATTGCTTACATTTTTTCAAATTGATTACTTCTTCTATATGATAAATCCCAATTACCAATTTTTTTACCATTTTTATATTCACCATTGTAAGTAATTTGTGAATCACCCTAAAACTTGTCGCTTAAATCAATCCATCTGCCATTCTTTAGTCCTTGTTTATTATAAGATCCACCTCCACTAATTTATATTTCAATAATCAAACATCTAATTTTCATCATAAATATATATCCATTTCCCATTTTTTATATCATCACAGTATTCTCCGCACATATAAACTTAACCATTTCTTATAATATTTTTCTAAATTCATAAATACTTCCAAAACATCGTTGTTAATCTTTCCATTAACCCTTTTTTTCCCATCCTCAGAGTATACTACAATTACTTCGTAATCTCCTAACCATTTTAAGTAATGTCTTTATTCTAAATAAGTGAAAGTTTCATATTTTTGGATTTGATTGAAATTCAATTTCTTGTAATCTTATTGATCGTATTCAAAGTATGAATTTTCCTCTTAACCCTATTCTCTTTTTATTGTTTTGGCAACTGTGCACTTATTTCCCATTTCTATTAATTTAAGCATTATTATGAGTTTCAATTAAAAATGTTTTATAAATTAATACTCCTAAGTGATAGAAGAACAAATATAATTAATAATTTTTTGTATGTTGAGTAAACGCTTGTTCAATATGAAACGAGACCAATCGAAATAATTCAATCTCTAATTTAATAATATATTTTAGCAAATGTAATTCACAAGTTACTTAAATTGAATTATATGCTTTTTTATCAAAATTGAATTAAAAACAATTTTCTTTTTCTTGAACAATTTCATATGTTAAGGAAAAATAAGTGGAAAATGATATTTGTCAAAAACAAAACTCAGAAAAGCAACGAATTAGAATCTCTTGCTACAAAGAAGTAATTCTATAAGGATTTTTCATGCTGAGAATCATATATCTTGTTCATTCTAAAAACACCTTAAATAGTTCATAATAATTTTAAATTGTACTTAGTTCAAGATTTGAATTCTCTTAAACTAAAATTTTCATTTTTTTTAGAATATTGTTGTAATATATAGAAGAACTTAGTAAACTATATTGAGGATTTTAACATTTTTGTATCCTACTTATTGCTTTCTAACTTTCAGCTTATATTTCTCGACTTAATTTTCATAGGCAATTAGTTTAAGGTTTCTGTTGCGTGCTTTTGTGCACGAATAAGTCGAAGTCATTAAATTTTTATGTTGAATGATTATTATCTGGTGTAGTTGAGGCTTTTTATGTTTGAATGAATTGTAAGTTTGATTTCGATCATGAAAACTAATTATGATTTAAATTTAAAAACAAATCAGACTAATTTAAGCTTAATTCTAATCTTAATTTTTATTCTAATTTTTTTAACCTATTAATATTAAATAATTAAGAAAAACTCAGGCATCTAATCTTAAAAACCCAAAAGTTATTATTAAATTATTTATTCAAACTTCAGAGTTAAAGGTAATGATTAAAATTAATTTAGCATTCAAATGATTTTAATCATCACTCCTACTCACATAATGGAGCGTATTTTTTGTTTATTGCTAAAATTTTACTTAATAAAGGATTTGATCAAGTTTTTTTAAAAGCTCAAAAGACGAACCAAAACATAAATCATGAAGAATAAGATTTGATAATTAATATGAAGATAACAAAAATAAGTATTTACAAATTATAACTCCATTTATTGAAATCTAATATTAGTTTACTTAGTGAATTCTTCAATTTATTTACTTGAACTGATCTGCATCAAATTTATCAAAATCTTAAAAATTATTAGAGGATAAGAATTCATATTTAGAGGGCAAAACTGTTGATTAATTTAAATAAATTTATCATTGTTTATTTTCTAAGTATTTAGAAATGGTTCAATAAAATTTGATTAAGAAGTCTTTTTGTTCTAATTACTTTTGGTTTACATTATTCTTTGGAATGGTTTATCTAGATATAAACCAAAACAACAATGATACTAGTTATTTAAGTTAAAACAAATAAATTAAAATCTCAAATTTTACAATGTTACCTTATATATTAATTAAATTTGAAGAAATGAATCAGGGGTGGAAAAATAATGTTAAAATATGCTTATGGTAAATCACATAATTATGGAAGTTAAATAATTAGAATTATTTGAAATCGACATTGCAAAGGATAAAAGATTGCTACTTTAATATCTAGTAATTTGTAGTTATATTATTTATTGCAAAGACCTAATAAATCATAGGATCATCACTGATTTCAAATATTGCGTTTTTTATTGTTCTAACTATCAATTTTTTTTGGTCCATTTACCAACCATTTTTCCACATTTATACTCTCCATTTTTAATTAAACAATTTATAGGTAGAAAATCATCAGACAATTCAGTCCATAGGCCCTGCTTAATCTGGGTGCCTTCTTATCATATAATCCGCCACCACTAAAAGAAATATATGTATTAAATTTGTCTTATATCTATTTAAATTCTTTTTCTTATTATCTTCTATACATCATATCCCATTACCCAACTTTTTTGCCATTTTAATATTCACCAGTATAAATTATTTAAGAATCCCATTTAAACTCTTCAAACTACTCATTCCAACGACCCAATTTAACCTCTGACCCTTCCTCATCAAATAATCCTCCACCACTAAATAAATTTTGATATTAAATTTGTACATTTATTTAAATTCATTTTCATTTTATTTTCTATACAACACCTCCCATCTGCCTACTTTTTTACCATTTTTATATTATCCATTATAAATAACTTAAGAATCTAGTCTAAACACTTCACTTTACTCAATCCAGTAACCTAACTTAATCTCTTCTCCACTTTCATTATATGATCTTCCATCACTAAAAGTGTTTTTAATTAAATTTGTTTACATTTTTTCAAATTGATTACTCCTTCTCTATGATAAATCCCAATTACCATGTAAGTAATTTGTGAATCACCCTAAAACTCATCGCTTAAATCAATCCCTCTGCCATTCTTTAGTCCTTGTTTATTATAAGATCCACTTCCACTAATTTATATTTCAATAATCAAACATCTTTCATCATAAATATATATCCACTTCCCATTATTTATATCATCACAGTATTCTCTGCACATATA